AGAGGGGGACTTTCAAGATGTTTGGCCATAGGTGGATGCAGCCTTCTTTGTCCAGAGCCTTTGAAAGAAGGTCTAGCAGGAACGCAGACCTTTCTGACCAGCTGGTTTGGTGCCTTTTCCTCTCTAGTTTCGAAGAGTCAGAGAAGATGAAGGATAGGGAACAAATGCCCTCCTGCTGACTAGAGACATAGCTTGAATGTCTGAATAAATTGAGTTCCATATTTTTTTTTTAAAGCTCTCAATGAATAGTGAACAGAGGAACTGATGTGTCTCTTATCTGTCTGCTGCCTGTTGACATTGGCTGGAAGATAATCACCATGGTGAACAAAGATCCCGGCAGCCAGTTATTACTCACTCCTGACCATTCTCATTCACCATTGTTTTGGCATATAATACCCTGAAAGAATATGAAATCCCAATGCTCTGCAGCGCTGTGGTTTCTCTTTATGAACCACAACCTCCTCATCCTTTCTGCAGCTCTCTCTCCCTTCCCACTCCCCTACTCCCACCAACTGCGAGGACATGGAGGGGGCTGAGTAGGCCTTCAAGACCTCCCATGCTCACTCCAGCCACAGGAGCTCTGCTACCATCTGCCTTATAAAATGACTTACTGGGCATCAATTACTCCAAAGTGTTTCTCTGGAAAATAGTTGAACACCACATGCTCTCACATGTTCATGATGACCAGCTACAGGATCTGACAGGGGTGAGGCAATTACATTTAGGCTTCCTATTCTCCATCCATTGTCTAAGTAAGAGCAAATTATTGTTAATCTTTGTTACCTATTCTTCCCCCATGTGGCACCAGAAAGCAGGTGAAGAAACCCTAAGCCTCTGAAGACAGAACTGATTTTCCTGACAAGGAAATGAGTGCCCATTCTCAAATGTACTTAGTCTCGGTCCAAATTTTGTTTGATCCTAGGGTCAGTTTGAAGCTCCACAGGTTAACTGTGTCCTCATAGTTCTGTTCCTTGAACTAACCAGGGCCACTTACTCAAATGCATGGCAGGAGCAGCATGGGAGCAGTAGGCAATCTTGGTCTCCAGAATTCATTTGGGCATCACCACGGATTTATTCCCTGGTGCCCAATTTGATTCTCATCAATCCCTTGGCTCTCTTCAGTTGACATATTATCTTGGGCTCATTTTTTCTGTTACAACATCAGGACTTTCCTTTAAGTTGTATACAATGAAAAGTCACTGTCTGATTCCATAAATTGCAAAAGGGCACAAATATGTTTCCCTGCCCAAACTCCCACTCCTAATAAATTCTAGGGGAGGCTCCTGCCTGAATTTTTGTCAGGGAAGAGAAACGGAAATGTGCACACTTTAAGGAAAGTCCAGAAGAGAGAGCAAAATCTCTGCTAGGAATAGGAAATTAGGCTAGTACATGAAGTCGTGAATTATTACCAGGCCCTAAGGCAGGTAATGAAGACCCAGCTTTTTAAAACAATTTTTTATTTAAATTCAGCCATATAAATGGCTGTTATATGTTGGCACATTGAACTTCAATAAAAAATACTAAAGAAAAATAAATTCAATGTAATTAACATATAGTGTATTATTAGTTTCAGGGCAAGAATTTAGTGATTCGTCAGTTGCATATACCACCCAATGCTCATTACATCAAGTGCCCTCCTTAATGCCCATCATCCAGTTACTCCATCCCTCAAGCCCCCCCACGCCAGTGATCCTCAGTTTGTTTTCTAGAGTTAAGAGTCTCTTATGCTTTGCCTCTCTCTCTGATTTTATCTTATTTTTTCTCCCTTCCCCTATGTTTATCTGTTTCATTTCTTAAATTCCACATATGAATGAAATCATTTGGTATTTGAAAGACTCAGCTTTTACCTTCATGGTACTCACAGGCCAATGGAGGAAGCAGCTTCCAAAGCAAATAATTCCAATACATTTTGTTCAATGTTATCATAAATTTTGTATAAAAAAAACAAAGGAAGGAGAGAGTAAGTGTTGAACTGTAGGCTCTATAGGAAAAAAGAGGGATCCCTGGGTGGCGCAGCGGTTTGGCGCCTGCCTTTGGCCCAGGGCGTGATCCTGGAGATCCGGGATCGAGTCCCACGTCGGGCTCCCGGTGCATGGAGCCTGTTTCTCCCTCTGCCTGTGTCTCTTTCTCTCTCTCTCTCACTGTATGACTATCATAAATAAATAAAAAGAAAATTTAAAAAAAAAGAAAAGAAAAAAGATCCTGTCTATCTTATTCACTGCTATTTATCCAGAACTCAGCATAGTATCTGGGACATGATATTATTTAATATGTATTTGTTTAATGGAGTTGATTCGTTTATACCAGGTATATTCAATGGTTTGATTCATTCAATTATTTAGTCATTCATTTAATTTATTTATTTTATTTATTTTAAATATTTTTATTTATTTATTCATGAGAGACAGAGAGAGAGAGAAGGGGGGGGTGCAGAGACACAAGCAGAGGGAGAAGCAGGCTCCATGCAGGGAGCCCAATGACGTGGGACTCGATCCCCAGTCTCCAGGATCACACCCTGGGCTGCAGGCGGCACTAAACCTCTGGGCCACTGGGGCTGCCCTTAGTCTTTCATTTAATCATGGTAAATTCTTATACACCGTTAGCTCTTTTTAAGTCGCAAGACAATTGATCACCATTTAATTTGAATATGAAGTTATTCTTTAAAAACAGTAGGAAGAATTTTGATTAAATATGAATGAAAGTTATGAACTTGGATACATCTAGCCTTTTTTTGGACTTTTGCTGTGTGCTAATTCCTCACAAGGTACACTGGATCATTCTCCACAGACAGATAAGAATATAAAGTTTATAGAGCTGAAATAACTTGCCCAGCTCACGTAAAGGTATTCAAATCCAGGCCTGAATGCCTAACTCCAAAGGCTATGATAATTGCCTATGCAACACTGCCTCTGCTAGAGTTTAGGGGACCTTAACAGCAGGCCCTAGAGAAGTGGGTGGAGTTGGATTTAGGCAGGGCCAGGGGAAGTAAACTCTCTATAAATCTGATCCCTGAGGGGGATGGCCAAGAGCCTAAGGGGTTGTGATGAACCTGATTTGGTTTGATCTGGTGTTAGGAGGCAAAGACTTTTATCTGGACACAGGGCAGGGGATAACTGGGTTAGGCAATGATGATACCTAGATAATTACGGGGCTGGGGATATGTGGGGGGTGGACAAGGCAGCTAGGATTTGATATAGGACCAACAGTTAGCCTCAGATTGGAAGGTAATGGTGAGAAGAGCCTCCATTTAGAGAAGAGGCTCCTGAGCAAAGTTGGGTTGGCCTTGGAACCTAGCTAAAGCAGGCTCGATTCAGGAAATTAAAGCATAAACCAGGAAACAGTTTGCTGAATTGCATTGGATTTGCTCTTTAGAGAATACCTCTGTTTTCTTCTTGTTGATACCGTAACAACACAGCAGCAGCGTGATGCAGTATAGTCTTAAGACTCGGGGCTCCTTTCTTTCTACTTGCTAGCTTTGGATGTTTTGTCAAGTGGCTTCATCTCCTTGGATTTCATTTTCCATATTGTAAATATGGACATTTTATACTGACTTCACTTAGAGATTTATAGGATGATATGAGAGATAGGTTGAGTTTGGATGCTGAGGCTTTGTATCCACTGAAGTCTTATTCTTATGCATTACATTTCCCATAAAACCAGGGCTTGAAGCTGTGTGCAAGGACAATAGGCCCAGAAAGCAGAAGTTGGAACAGTACATGTCAGTGATTATAGGCAATGGGGCATCGATTAAAAATAGACTGTAGCCTTCTTTGGAAGAGGTAGTGGGACTTAATGGAAAGTAACAAGAAATGCTCATAAAACAGCTCTTTATGCACAAAGGAGCCAGTTTTTGCCTTGTTGCTAAGGTCCCAATTGTTTCCTGGCTGTGTTTTCTATGCCTGTGTCAGGCCATTCTGTGGGTTCCTTTCAAGAACTTGGTGATATTGGCCTGCAGATAATTAGATCAGTGTCATCACTTTCGCTGTCCCCCTTTTTATTCTTCTGGGACCATTTGCATGAAAATAAAAGTGGGTGATATTCCTTTCCCATTAAGAAGGCTTAATTTCTTATTGGGATATAACTTGGGGGACTTTTGGGAAAAAGTCCCAAGTCAATGTGTAAATGAGCTTGCTATAAATAGGCTTACAAGACCCAAAGATTCAGCTAAGCCTTCCACTTCCCAAACTGACCCTTCAAAACCATCCCCTAATGATAGAGAAGATCTTCATCTGGGGCTAATCAGGATGCAGCTTGTGTAAGAGAAACTTTTACATTCTGTAGTAAAATTGGTTCTGAAGTTCATAAAGCATGTGTGTTTCTGTCGATTTTTCCTCAGCTTAGGGTTTTTCAAAGAACTAGACCTAAAAGAAACCTCAGTTAGCAACAATGAAGTTTGGGAGGAAGATTCACATTATTTGTCATTAATTTGTTGTAAAGCAATGGAGGTATAGTAGAAAGAGGATTGATTTAGGTGTCAATCAGAATCAGATTTGAATATTAGTTCTACCATGTATTAATTGTGTGATCTCGATGATCTTGTTTTCTCATTCTAAAAAGGTGATAACAAATCTACCTGCTACTATCACTGTCATATATAAAGATGTGAACTGTATAGCAGAGGCCTACTAAGGTAAGAGGCACCATTCATTGCTCATAAAATGTTAATTCCATTCTCCTTCTCTTCCTTTCCTCATATTCCTTAATAATTGATAAAAAGATAATGGTATCATTTCTGCACCAGACTCCTTGGGTCAACAGGTTTTGGGTCAACTCCTTGGGTCAACTGCTTCCAGAACATGTGAAATCTATGATATAGGTAATTTCTTTTGATGATTACTTTTCCAGTGGTAAGAAAAGGAAGGGAAAATAGGGGGAGGGGGATTTTTTCTGAGTCATTTATGAAGCTAACTTTATTCTTAGATCAGGATAGAAAGTTGAGATATTAGTTGTTGTTGTTGTTGTTGTTGTTGTTTTCCCACACTTCCCCCATTTTCTTTTACCTTTTAAGCAGGTAGCCAGTCTTTGTGTTTTCTTGCTTCAGGATTTTAAGATAGAGAACAGGAGATATTCACATCTTCCTTTCCTGGCCCTTCTTTTCCAAAAGTCCAAGCTTTCTGAAGGAATCTTGTTATATTCCCTGAAAGGCAGAGAGAGGGAGAATACCCTTTGAGAAGCAGCAATGCAAAAAAAAAAAAAAAAAAAGAGGTTCCAGGAGACTGAGAAGGGGATAAAGATTTGTGAGTACATCAAACAATGACTCTTTCTCTACTCCTTGGCAATCCCTCTTCGCCACTCCTGACAGGGGATAAATGTGAAACTTTGGTGGAGTTCCTAGCCTTGCCCAAGGTTCCTATGCTATAATTAATTTAAAAATAATAATAGCTAACACTTATATACTATGTGTCAGGAACTTTTGAAAATGTTACATACTGTAATTTATTTCTCACATAAAATCTTTTGGTTAAGTATTATCAATCTCCCCATTTTATAGATGAGGAAACTGAGGCTCAGCTTGGAAGGAGTACAGACAGGGTTTGAACCTGGGAAATCTATCCCTTGGGTCCATTTCTCTGACTTCTGGAAAGAACAGAGACTCTGGCCTGAATAGGTCTGCAGATTTTGTGAGACAGTGTCTCAATAAGAATAACCTATGACTGTTGACTGGAGAATTTATCCTCAAGTCTTAATGCTCTCTTAGACCCCAGAATCTTGCAATACCTGGCAAAGGGGTATCCCCAAAGATGACTGAGATTAAGTTTTCTGTCTGTAAAGCTGGAGGGAAGCATGGTGTTGAAGTTAAAATTATTTAGAGAAAATAATGAAACATAGGGGTTTTTTATTTTTGCTTTTTGTTGTTGCTGATTTTTTTTTTAAGATTTTAGATAGGTTTGTTTTATTTATTTATTTATGACAGTCACACAGAGAGAAAGAGAGAGGCAGAGACACAGGCAGAGGGAGAAGCAGGCTCCATGAACCGGGAGCCCGACGTGGGATTCGATCCCGAGTCTCCAGGATCGCGCCCTGGGCCAAAGGCAGGCGCCAAACTGCTGCGCCACCCAGGGATCCCTGTTGTTGCTGATTTTTATCTGCTATACTTTGATACCAAAATCTGGCAAAAGGAGTATAAAAAAGTATTTGTATCATCTTAAATTATTAACATCAATAAAAAACTTGTATTTGAGTACTCACCATGTGCCATGCCATGAGACATATATCTTACTTAATCCTTGTGTGGAAGGTATTAAAACTTTAGAGAAATTAAATAAGTGGTTGAAGCTCAGATAGCCTTGAAGTTGTAGATCAGACTGAGGATGATCAAAGCCAATGTTCTTTTCCAATAAGAAGCCCTGCAATGCCTTCATACTGCTACCACTAGATAGAAATGTCTTTAATAAAATAAACTAGGTTTAATTTATGACCATATTAAATGATGAATACATCATACAAAATGTAGTTTAATTGTAGAAATATTAGGCAAATCATACAAAATGTAGTTTAATGTAGAAATATTAGGCAAATCCAATATTAGAAGACATAATCTTGTCTTTCCCTCTGCTCCTTCCCCCTCCCCCCACCCCCGCTTGTGCTCTCTCTCAAATGAATAGATGAAATCTTAAAAATAAAAAAGGTAATGCCCTTTACATTAACACCAGAAGATCAAAAGACTTATTTATAAACCTAACATAAACCTAATATGTAAAATATCTATATGAGGAAAACTGTAAATCTCTGATGAAAGAAATCAAAGATCTAAATAAATAAAAAAATATTCCACGTTCATGACAGGAAGACTTTTTTAAAAAATATTTTATTTATTTATTCGTGAGAGACGCAGAGAGGTAAAGACATAGGCAGAGGGAGAAGCAGGGAGCCTGATGCGGGACTCAATCCCAGGACCCTGGGATCATGACCTGAGCCAAAGGCAGACACTCAACCACTGAGCCACCCAGTTGCCCCTATGGATAGGAAGACTTAATATTATTAAGAAGTCAGTTCTTTCTGACTTGATTTATAGATTCAATGTAATCCCAATAAAAAAAATCTCGGTGAGTTATATTATTGATAAAATGATTTTTAAGTTTATATGTGAAGGCAAAAGAACCAGAAGAGTCAACACAATACTGAAAAAGAACAAATAGCATTGACGCTATCTAACTTCAAGACTTACAGTAAGCTGTAGGGATTAAGACATTGGCAGAAGAATAGACAAATACATCAGTGGAATAGAATAGAAAGCTCAGAAATAGATCCATACCAATATAGTCAACTGGTCTTTGACAAAGAAGGAAAGCAATTCAATGGAGAAAGGATAGTCCTTTTAACAAATGGTCCTGGAACAACTGGACACCCACATGCAAAAATATGAATCTAAATGCAAGCCTTACACCTTTCACAAAAATTAATTGAAAACAGATCACTGACCTAAACATGGTACACAAAGCTATACAACTTCTAGAAGATAACATAGGAGAAAACTTAGTTGATCTTGAATTTGGTGATTATTTTTTAGATACAATACCAAAATACCAAAATACGATCTATAAAAGAAACTATTGATAATTTGGACTTCATTAAAATTAAGAACTTCGGTGAAAGACACTGTTAAGAGAATCAAAAGAAAATCCACAGAGTGTGATAAAATATTTGTAAAACACATATATGATAAAAGATTTGTATTGAAAATACATAAAAAACCTCTTAAAACTCAACAATAAGAAAACAAACCATCCAATTAAAAAATGGGCAAAATACCTGAGCAGATATATTTTCATAGAAGATACACACATGGCAAATAAGCATAAGAAAAGGCATTGAATATCAAATATTATTAAATAATTGCAAATTAAAACAACAATGAGATGCCTCTCCACACCTATTAGAATGGCTAAAATCTGAAACAATGATAATAGCAAATGTTGGCAAAGATGTGAGCAACAGGAACTCTCATTCATTGCTGGTAGGAATGCAAAATAGTATAGCCATTTTGGAGGAGTGTCTGTCGGTTTCTTACAACGCTGAACATAGGCCTTGCCATATGAGTCAGTAGTTGCACAAGTGGGCATTTGCCCTAATGGGTTAAAAATTTATGTTTACACAAAAACCTGCACAAGGATGTTTATAGAAGCTTTATTCATAACTGCCTGAGATTGGAAATAACTAAGTTGTCCTTTAATAGGTGAATGGATAAACAAACTCTGGTACCTTTATTCTGTTGAGTATTATTCAGTTATGAAAGAAATGAACCTATCAAGCTATGAAAAGACATGAATGAACCTTAAATGTATATTTCTAAGTGAAAGAAGCCAATCTGAGAAAGCTACATATTGCTTAATTCAAACTATATGACATTCTGGAAAAGGCAGAACTATGAAAACAGTAAAAGGATCAGTGGTTGCCATGGGTTCAACAACATGGGACCTCCCTCTCCTCCAAGACTGAGCTACCTGTGATCACAGCTAGAAGTCCAGCTTGCCAACAACAAAGATGAGCTCTATACCGTGGGAGAGCCACCCAGCCACCTGGTAACAAGTTGATTTCAATCTCCTTTTAATTACGGACAGAAAAAATTTTCTCACTAGAATAGTCATTCTGGGTATGGATTAGCTTTCCTTCCCAATGCTTCTGCCAACTCCATCACCTATGGACTTATAGAATGCTTTATTTGCCCTCACAGCATCTCACATTTCATTGCCTTCATTCAAGGAAATAATTACTGACAGCACAGGGGGTGAAGTTGTGGGCTCTAGCTCATGGTATTCGCTGTTTTTGTGGTGCAATCATGTTACCTACTATCCAGAAACAGCTGGCTTTATAGGACAGTAGAATCATCCAGTTATATCAGCTGGCAAACAATACTTTCAGAGGTTGGATGCTATTCTACAGTGTGGAACATATGCTTATCTAGCGACCAATATATAATCCTGTTTATGTTTTTTTTTCTTTTTTTTTTAATCCTGTTTATCTTATAGCTAGAATTACACGGGATAAGAAATTAAGGAGTTAAAGTAGGAATTGCTCCTTGTACTACCCAAAAAATTACAAAATATTTTTCTCATCTTTATGTATTTGATCACTGGGATTTTATTTTATTTTTATTTTTTTTTAATTTTTATTTGTTTATGATAGTCACAGAGAGAGAGAGAGAGAGAGAGAGAGAGAGAGGCAGACACAGACAGAGGGAGAAGCAGGCTCTATTTCACAAGCTTGGTGAAATGACCCCCAAATACTCATTTTTAAAGTATCTGCCAGTTGACAGTATCAACTTTCAATTCGATGGAACTAAACTGGCAATGCTGGGCTCCTCGTGTCACTGGTCTAGCATACAAAGAAGGATGTGACTACTGTGGCTAAAGTGATTGGTTCTAATTTCCAAGAGAAAATTGGGTTGTTGTTGCACAATGGGGAGAAGAGAACTGTCTGGAAACCAGGGTATTTTCTATGTACACTATAGTGACCAATAAAGCTGGGAGTGCTAAAGCTTCAGATACTTTAAAAATGAGTATTTGGGGTCATTTCACAAGCTTGTGAACCTTGATCAATTGAAGTGATAGCTGAAGGAGACAAGTCAGTGGAATAAGAAAGTGTAAAACTCAACTATGGCATTGATATCATTTACAGAAATGGGAACTATAGCAGATATTATTCTATTCATTGCTTTTATGTGTATTTTAGTATATATTAACTATTTTCCTTACTCTTTTTCTCCATTATCTTACATAGGAATTGTTCATTGGGATAAACCTTACAATTTGATACTCAGGTTACAAAATATGTGGGTGGAATTTGACCAACTAAAACAAAACTTAACTTCATCCAGAGATGGATATGGTGGCTGTTGGGCTCTGTCTCTCCTTTTTGGGTGACATTGTCTTCCTCTGTATAAATGTTAGCTGCATCTCATTAGGAGGCAGCATGAAGCTGTTACTGTTGTATGGAAGTTTAGTTATGGGCAAAGGGGCGTGATTGGATACTGAATAGGCTGAGAGATATATTGTGCACCTCTTTTTACTTCTCTCTTGTCTCATAGACCTAAGCCCGCTATTCTATATTCTGTTCTGAGATGTTGGGGCTAGGACTCTACAAACTACTGTTCCTAGATGTCCTTGCTATCTGCTTTTGCCAGTTAGGTGGTGCCAA